ACTTTTTTATCTAAAATAGTAAATCACTTCTTTAGAAAATGTGTTCCTGCATACATCATTTAAAGCATTAGTCACTCAACTGTATTGTATACTTCTGTTTTTAGTAAAAGGTTGCTCACTTGGTACTGAGGAATAATCGTGACTCTATAATGAAAAACCTACACCACACAATGCTGCATAATCATATCTAATTATTCTTGATTTTCTGATGTGAGTGCACAATTGGATATTGGAAAGTTCTGACATTTCAATTTTCAGCTTAATAAGGAAGCAGAACTTTTCTGGTCACCTCAGCTCTTATTAGCCTGCATTACTACCAATTTCTGAGATGAAGGGGACAATGCAGAATTAAGAAATTCCCAACAATACTGTATACATTTTGCATTTCTGTAGCCCACTGAAATCCCTTAAACCTTGAGCTTTTTAAACTGTTGCAATTGTACACAGCTGTTAAGACAATGACATGATGAATAATGGACAGTATTTAAAAAGCCATTATTTTAGCACTGGTATTTAATTCTACTCTGTCCTGAGAAGATCTGTACTTTGTGACACTCTTGTGAAAGAAGTTTATTAAATTCATTACTTGATAAAACTTTATTCTATATAAAATTTATTGATTTAACTTTATTATTTGTCGCAACAATCTTGCTTTATTTTATTTTCCATAATTCTGTAATGTAGTTTAAAGTGTCTGACTTCAGAATTAGCCTACATTTTCATTGGCTAAACTAGGAATCCAATAAACTGCAAAAATCTGGATATAGTTAGCCTTATTCTTTACTTTCATTTTATGGCCTTTGGATGTAACTGTCCAGTAATGGTGCAAGTTCTCATTTCTCTCTTGTTCTTTGCATTTTAGCAAATGAAGATGAAAAAGTCTGTCACTCAGGTGCATCAAGTTTTTCTTCTTCAGCTTCTAAGGGTATGTCTACACTACCCCGCTAGTTCGAACTAGCGGGGTAATGTAGGCATACCGCACTTGCAAATGAAGCCCGGGATTTGAATTTCCCGGGCTTCATTTGCATAAGCCGGCCGGCGCCATTTTTAAATGCCGGCTTGTTCGAACCCCGTGCCGCGCGGCTACACGCGGCACGGGCTAGATAGTTCGAACTAGCAAGCCAT